GATGGATAACTCTGAAGGGGGAACTTCGGCAAGATGGCTCTAGGTGGGAATAATGGAGGAGATTCTTAACTTCCCAAAAATACTGATTGATTGTGATTATCGAGGAAGAAACTAAATGCAATTAAATGGACAGTTTGTGTGTGGTATTGGGAGAGTGATGCAAATTCCATGGTGAGAATGGAAAATAAAAATGTCAGTGTTGTAATGCTTTGTAATTGCAAAGCTAATCAATCCCTTACGTATTGAAAAATTGAATAGGCAAATTTTCCCCATTTGATTTTATCTTTTTTCCAATCCACCCCCAGCTGATACTGGGATGTGGGGTTACTTGGTCTGTTATAAAGCCTGGTGGGGGGGATGTCTTTTGCCAGTTGTAGCTTCCATTGCCGCTGCAGCATTTTGATCTGGCACCCCAAAGGGGGCAATGAAGGTCAAGATATAGGAGGCCTGACTGAGAGTGCTGAATTCCCTATATTGCTTTGAACATACCACCCAATTTTCTGACTTGCATGTAATGATTATATGATACAAATCTCTCTCTCTCTCTCTTGGTGAGGACAAACATTCTTGGACTTCGAGTAAGACATCACAGTCTCCCATATCTATTTGCCTTGAGAAAATACAAAGAACCTTGCACGGTAATCAACTCTAAGATTGCCTAATTTTCTGTTATGTTTGATGGAAACGATGTCTAGCTTCTGTCTTGTCATCTTGTGCAATGAATGTGCCTGGATTCTAGATGCCTTCCTTTTACAAACGGTACGATGAGCAATACAGCACAATTAAGCAAGAATCTTTGGTCTATTGCTCTTAAACGTGTGGGATCTGTTGATTGCTTTTATTGAACACGTTGATTCTGTGTGATGGAACCTTATTCCCTATTTTTTCATGTGTGCAGCAGGACCTTTGGCTGCAACAATGAACAAGCTGTCACTTTTGTCAAATCGAAAGGGGTAAGTATACTCTGCATCTACTAAATACGCTCTCTTCACTTCCCGCAGCAGTGGGACTGCTAGGTATGTTTCTACTGCTGTATAATTCTCACATGACATGCGTACATGCCATTCGGTGTATTCAGTGGCTAAGCTGCGTCTTACTGCCATTTTCCTGTGATATCCTTGAAAGAGATGAGCATGAGCAGGTCAGGAGTTCCCCTTGGGCAGAAAGTTTTGGGACATTTCCCATACTTGGGCCTGTGAAATGATTACTACTTCACCTCAGCCTCTTGACAAAGCGTAGATAAATGCCACTACAAAGTGGCATTTCAGAAAATGCAGGAGTAGGAAGTTGCTTTATGCCAAATCCAGCTATTAGTATTTTGATCTCTGTGTCGCCATGCATCATCTGCCTTTCCCAGCCCTGGAGATGTTGGAGGCTGAAGCTGGGGTGGGGTGGGGCGTTCAGTCCAAAGCATGTGGACTTCCAGTGATGTACAGACCTGCTGCTGCTGCTGACGTTTAATCAGAAACTAAAACATAGCCGTTTGGAAGGCTGGGTGCAAACACTCCTTTCTGTAGAACCCGTAAACATCAGCCAAGATAAAGAAAAAAGTTTGCATTCGGGGTCAGCCCATCCATGAAGTGAGGCATCCTGTCTCAGGTGGCAGGATCCACAGGGGCAGCAGCAGCAGATAATAATAAAATATTTATTTATTTATTTATTTATTTTATTTATTTATTTCCGGCCCATCTGGCTGGGTTTCCCCAGCCACTCTGTTGATCTTTAGTCCTCATCACTTTGTTCCTGACACTCACTCACCCTTCCTTCCTGGTGGAGAGGGGGGGACACCATTTTGTGGTTCACTTGAGGTGCCAAAATGTCTTGGGCCAGCCTTGCTAGGCTTCCGTTGCGCACTGTAACTTTTAAATAAGCAATGCATTTTTTCTTCTTCCTTCTTTCCTCTGTAGACTTAATTATTATGTGAGCCCCAGTGGGGCAGTTTGCTATATAACATCCAAATCCTTCTACATTGAGATTCACCTGGAGAAGGATGGAAAAGTGGTGGATGTCAGGTTGGCTCACCCTGGGAAAAAACCCCTGGTAATTTTAATTTGTTTTCCTTTGGGTGTTCTGATCTGATGAAATACAATCCTGCTTTTCTAGTTCTTCTGAAATATCTATAGCTTCATAATAAACCCTGTGCAGCAAGTGAGATGCTTGCATCTAAGTCAAAGGGACAACTTATAACACTTACACTGTTGCTGCTACAACCAAACTAAACATCTGCATTTGTAATTGCAAAATTTGTGGGAATAGCAGTTTCATTCACAAATGCTGAACTGCAAAATAATTGCACAAGGACTGTTAAATTTCCTTATAGCTGGGTGACCATTTCTCCTTAATTTGTCCCCATCTGATGAGACTGCTTGACATGAGGTAGCAACTATGGGCTCGTCCACATGGGGAACTTAATGTGGGTTTGAAGCTAGTTGTTCCTCATTCACATAAAGTCCTCATCCAACTGCTAGCCCACGACTTCCCCCGTTAAATTTTAATTTTCCTAGTCTGGAGGGGGGTAGTCCAATAAAGGAAGTAAATGCAATATGTGGATGCAGTGAAGCGCATGGGGGGGGAGGTTACATAGAATAATAGAATTGTGGAGTTGGAAGGGACCCAAAGGGCTTTCAAAATGATGCAACCACACTCCAACTACGGGTGGGAGAAGAGTAGGAAATATATGCCTTTATAGATTCTGGTTTACAGCCAAAAGTGACTGTTCCTGAATAGATCTTGGGGAAAACATCCTTGGATATTCCTCGTAGTGTCTGCTAAGGTTTTGTGTTGACTAAGGTTCGGCTTATGTCATTTCTCCTTTCTGCTTTGTTTTTAAGAAAATAGTGCCCCTCTTTAGAAAACCATAACCTCTGTTCTTTCGTCTTCTAGACCTGTGAAGATCTTTTGCAGCTTCTAAGGTACATATGCACTAGGTGGATTTTTAGCACACACAATTTTTAATTTCATAAAATAAAAATCCTTTGCCACTGTTCCCATATCGTTTTCTGTGGTTGAGGTAAAAATGAATAGATAGTTCTGATAACTGTGGCTTCCATCCCTGCCTGCCCTCCGTCCAGGACCAATTTGAGCCACTTTCCAAAGTTATTTAGCTGCTTTTTAGATGTCTTGTTTGATGGTAGCGCAATGGTAAGAGCATCCCACTGCTTTCTATGTCAACATGCTGCCAATATCAGATTCACTTCGGTGGTGGTGTTTTCCCAAATATTGGCTACTACATGGCTCTCTTTGCCTTATCAGCATTGACAATTGTTGCATGTATTTTGCTCTTTAGAATGGAAAATTTTGATGCCTTTGGAAACATGCTGGCAGACATGTTAAATATTTATCAGATTCCAGGAAGCAGGTTTGTTTGTGGCAACTTAATTACATTACTTAAATTATTATATTGTATATAAAACTCCCTTCCTCCAATAAGGTCTTTCTTTTCTAGTGAAACAAAGTCCAAGGTGTTTGCTGCCTTCCTGGCTTTGGAAAAAGACCTCTGCTCACTGTCTGCTTTGAGCAAGTAGGTTTGACAGTGGTTGGGGAAGGTGCAAGTTCAGATGGTTGTCATCATCATCATAATAATAATAATAATAATAATAATAATAATAATAAATTTTAAGGCATTTGAGTGCATTCTTGATCTCACTGATTACTGTATATACTTTAAAAACAGAACACCAGGTATGGACAGAGTCACTGAAATACTATGTGGAAAAGTTGGCTATCTGAACCCAAGAAGTGGAGGTAACTGATTTTTCTTTCTTCAGACTGAAGTAGATATCTGTGTGATCATGGTAGCCAAGCATAATTTAAGAATGCTAAAGAATAGTAATACCTTGGGATTGCTTTCCAGTGACTTTGTAGGTAGCATGTATGATAGAGGCGTTGTTGTTTGTAGTACAGTGGTACCTCTGGTTACAAACTTAATTCGTTCCGCAGGTCCATTCTTAACCCGAAACTGTTCATAACCTGAGGCGCGTTTTCACTAATGGCGCCTCCTGCTGCTGCCGTGTTGCGACTTCTGCTCGCATCCCGGGGCAAAGTTCACAACCAGGAGCATCTACTTCCGGGTTAGTGGAGCTCGTTACCCGAAGCGTTCGTAAGGAGGACGGTACATAACCCGAGGTTCCACTGTGTGCACATTCATCCCAGTATACTTTCTGCTCACAGGACTTTGTGCTCCAGAACCGCTTTTTGACAAGAGATGACGGTGAGACCAACATGAGTGTGTACAACCCCTTTCCTGTCCCCGAGTCTTTTTCTAGGTAGCTGTGAAAATAGAGGAGAGGTCCTGACTAGTTCCTCCTTGCGTTTTGGTCCCTTTGCACATACACTTCTCCTTGTTTATGAGTAATGCTACTTCCCCTCCCCCATCTCACTTATTTTTCCTGATAAGGTGCTAGTCCTGTTGCGACTGTGTGTGTGTGATCCATGTATTAGATGATGAGAAAGGATCAAACTGTGCACTTTCTGCACAACTGCCTTAAAAGTTAAAACCAAGACCAGCTAGTGATTTCCTGGGTGTCCGATCATTGGGCCACTGATTCCCCCAATGCCTTTTTCTTCTGCCTATAATTCTTCTTTTCTTTGGTAGTTACTTGACTGTGTGCAGCTGCTTCTAGCAGAGTTGTCCCTAAATGGTACTTTGGGGCATCTCTTGGGGCTCCTCCCCCATTTGTACAACCTTCTTGAATACAGATGCTTCAGGTTACATACGCTTCAGGTTACAGACTCTGCTAACCCAGAAATAGTACCTCGGGTTAAGAACTTTGCTTCAGGATGAGAACAAAAATCGTGTGGCAGCAGCAGGAGGTCCCATTAGCTAAAGTGGTACCTCAGGTTAAGAACAGTTTCAGGTTAAGAACAGACCTCCAGAACAAATTAAGTTCTTAACACGAGGTACCACTGTACTTTATTTTAGGGTGTCCTGCAGCTTGCTCCTCAATATTTATGCATGAATTGTATGCATGATTTATCAGGAAGAAGTTTCACCCTAGGAGTGATAGCTTAGTTGGTAGAGCATTCGATTCTTAATCTCGTGGCTGTGAGTTTGAGCTCCACATTGGATAAAAAGATTCCTGCACTATAGGGAGTTGGGCTAGATGAGCCAAGTGGTCCATTCCAACGCTACAATTCTGTGATTTGTACAAAAGAACTTACTTGTTTTATATGTTTAAACTGTTGAGTGGATAACTAGCTCTCCACAACAATCTCCTTGCAACCCCAAACAGTTGTCTGGGTCCCCTGTCGCACAATATGGCCCTGGGGTATTGAGTCCTTTGCATTGGAAGCAAACAAAAACGATGAAGGGGATCAAACATCCTAGGCTTACATAGCTTACATTACTATCCGTTATGTGCTTTTTCTGTTTAATCCATCTAATTTTCTCAAATTCTATAGGAAGCCCTATGAACCTTGAATTTTACCTATCGCCGTATCAAATTCTAGAGGAACAACTCACCCCAGGTATTTATTAATTACTATTTTGTCAGTTTACTCTCAAAAGTGACTCAAAGTGGCTTACAACACAGTATAAACACTAAAACCCATTACAGTAAACAAACCAATAAAATACATCTATAAAAAATAAAAGGTCCCACAAAAATATTATTATTAGTGATGAGTGAGGGATTGTGAATTGACTAGAAAACCTCCATAGTGGTGGTCTCATTCTGCATTCCCTTTTAAAATAGATTCTACACTCACTAAATGACATATGCTTCATTTTGAGTGAGTAAACGAAGACCAATTCTATCCCTACTTGTGTATGATGAAGCCCCACTGAAATCGGTGTGACTTACTTTTGAATGGACATGGACAGGATTGCATGGTTATGCTAGCGGCTCTCTGAAGGGTGTGAAGTCGAGATTTTCCCATCTCTGCCACCTAAAATCCTTTACCTGGAGGTTTGGGGGACTGAACCTGAGACGTCCTGCATGCAAAGCACTGAGGTATGGACACATGCACACCCACAGCCACAAGCTTTTGTGTGATTGGAGCAGAAATCTCTGTATAATCCCACTGCTGTCACTTCTCGACCCTTAACCTTAACCTTAACCTTCATTCTGTATTGCTACAGGCATTCAAGGGTATTGATACATGTATTCAAGTTGACAGCTTGATAATATTGCTAGCTTCTTTTAGTGGAAGCTACCCATAGCTCCATCTGGTACGCAGGCTGAGACCCTCCCTGCCCGCGGACTGTCTCGCCAGAGTGGTGCATGCTCTAGTTATCTCCTGCTTGGACTACTGCAATGTGCTCTACGTGGGACTACCTTTGAAGGTGACCCAGAAACTACAACTAATACAGAATGCGGCAGCTAGACTGGTGACTGGGAGCGGCTGCCGAGAGCACATAACACCGGTCTTGAAAGACCTACATTGGCTCCCAGTACGTTTCCAAGCACAATTCAAAGTGTTGGTGCTGACCTTTAAAGCCCTAAACGGCCTCGGTCCTGTATACCTGAAGGAGCATCTCCACCCCCATCGTTCTGCCCGGACACTGAGGTCCAGCTACGAGGGCCTTCTGGCTGTTCCCTCCCTGCGAGAAGCCAAGTTACAGGGAACCAGGCAGAGGGCCTTCTCGGTAGTGGCACCCGCCCTGTGGAACGCCCTCCCACCAGCTGTCAAAGAGAAAAACAACAACCAGACTTTTAGAAGACATTTGAAGGCAGCCCTAGTTAGGGAAGCTTTTAATGTTTGACAGACTATTGTATTTTAATATTTTGTTGGAAGTCTCCAAGAGTGGCTGGAGAAACCCAGCCAGATGGGCGGGGTATAAATTTCTCTAATATCCATTCCGGGATGTGTGGTTTTTTTAAAAAGAAACTGTCTTATGTAATGTTTTTTACATGGCACACAACTGTGTTAACATTGCAATGCACGTATGTGAAGAAAAACACTGGAACAATGAGGGAGAAAAATGAAGTGTACTGGTCTGGATGTGGTCATTTTGTGAGAAGATGGACAAATTTAAGAGTTGGTGATGGCCTGTTGCTTTATTTTTCCTTCTATCTGCTTGGGTCAAAAAACCCCAATAACAATCAGTCTTGATGGTAGAGGACTAAAGACAGTGTTTAGCATTTCAGCAGAGTCCATCAGAGCTGACCACCACAGCTTGGCCCACCTGCTCCCCCACTTTAGTTTTTACTGACAACAACAAATGGAAGAGGACCACCATATTAAATTTCCCATCAGTGCCCTGGACTGGTTCACATAGTATCCATCCAAGGCATTGTGGGGACTTAAAATCTCGGCCATTTTATTACTAAAATGGCTGCCGGCTTCCCAGACCCACAGCTGTCACCATGGAAACTCACAGGGGGCCTAAATAGATACTGCCACAGGGCCTTCCCTCAGACTAGTCCAGAACTAGCTTTGAAATAACAAGTGACAAAATGGGTTCAAATGGCAAGCAAGGCATCCATCATGCAACCTTCTGTTCTCTGACACAATAACATCACTGGCTATAGTACTTAGAATCACAATTCACTTAAGTATTGGGGGAAATCAATGTTCCTGGACAAAGACTTCAAGGCCATTTGTGTATCATCTTCACTAGTCTGACATATTTGTGTCTTCTCTTTCCATCAGGCTTGAAAATAGATGGCAGGAAGGTACTTGTCATAATAGGAGGGGCTGACGTAGTCCACCGACTCCCTCTTGCGCCCTCACTTGTGAATTCGCCGACTGGTGGAGATGGGTAAGACTTGAGGGCATCATTCATGCTCCTATCAGTATAACTGAACATGGAAATCCCTCGCTAATGGGTGTGTGATAGCACATCAAATTCACTTCTTAATAGTCTGTCATTTTAAGACACTGTGAGGAACATGGTAGGAAAATGTGTACAAAACCTGGAAGTGCGTCCTCAAATTACACATTGTGTTCTTCACACTTCTTAAGAGTACATGCTTAAACTGGCCACTTTCAGTTTGAAGAAAAGACAGCTGCCAATCCATGACCCAATATGTGCTTTTGATCTGGATTCAGGCCAGCCTGAACTCTTATTCTGCCCCCTCTCCTCACCAACTGATGTTTCCCTTTGAAGGTGCTGTCTACTGTGAGCAGTGCTGGTGGTCTCCAGCTCTGACCAGCCCCTGTGAGCCTGGTCAATGGTCAGGGATGGTGGGAGTTGAAGTCCAACAACATCTGGAGGGCCACAGATCCTCCGGATCTGATAAAGGAAAATCCTGTCTGAGATCCTGGAACAGCCTTTCTCAGACTTTGGTACCCAGGTGTTGTTGGACTACAATGCCCATCATCCCTAGCTAGCAGGACTAGTGGTCAGGGATGATGGACGTTGTAGTCCAACAATACCTGGGGACGCAAGCTTGAGAAACATTGGCTTAACTTATAAGATTGTGCTACCAGAGTACTGGTCAAACTAGCTTCCTTTTACCTAATGCTTAACTTTCAAACCTTTTCTTCAGCAGCCCCAGATTCCTGCCTCTGAAGGAAGTAATTTCTGCACCATTATCAGCTTGCTTTTTCCTGATGTTTTACCAGAACTGTCCTTTTCCTCTGTCTTCATCCAGTATTCATAAACTACAGGAGCTTACAGGCATGCTTTAATTTAATTAAGTACATAATTTTGTACCTCCACCCTCCCTCCCTACATGCTAACATTTCAATAGACCCTAATTAACATTTGGTTAATTCTTCCCCTGTGATTTCTACAGGGGTATAAAGGCTGATGGGGCCCCAGGGTGGAGTTAGAAAGGGAGAAGTGGCAGGAGCGTAAAATGAGAACCAAGTATTGCTGCTTCTGTACTAGGAGTATAGCATTTGTGCTGGTATTTGTCTCAGCCTTCCCAGGAGCAACTTGCCCATTCAGGAGCACAAGTGCTTGCTGATCTGAATAGCCCTGTCCCTCTGTTGGCAGCCATCCCACTGATTTATTGATAACTATTGTGTGATCACATCTCTCTTTGCCTCTTCTCATGTGATGCTGTTTCTCTCAAATGCATTCCATCTTTAATGATGCTCTTGTACAGTACTAATGAAAAAAAATAATTTGGTTTTAGGGCTTCCAGTTGCTAGGTTGAAGCCAGGTCCTCTACATGAGCTGATTGTTCAGTTTGCCCTTTCAGAAAATCATCCGCATGGTTTGATAGCAAGTTCTTCTTCCTTCATTGTGGTAATTATACTCCAATTGTTGGTATTCACTCCAGTTGTTATGAGGTCAGGAATGAAGCTGCTAAATGAGTCATAATTCTACAGCTTACTGAAAGCTGTGTGTTGAATTCTGGGAAGTCACATGAATTTTCTGAAGTAGATGACTTTAACACTGCTAAATTTGATTATGACCTAAGTTGCAATTCTTTGCCCAGGTTGGCCTTTACACAACATACACAAATTGTGTGTGCGCTCTCTCTCTCTCCTTACTCTCCCCCTCTCTCACACACAAAATTACACTCAATTCAGTGACTCTAATGTGCAAAATTGTGGGGCTGTCTCCATGAGATGTCGTTAAAAAGCTAAATGCGGCCTTATACTAACCCATAACAGTACTTTTTCAAAAGCCTTGTTTCAAGTTAAAACCATTTGCACACATGGTCTCATAATAGCTGGAAAAGTTTCATAAAGATGTAGCATAGAATGAATTCATTGTGGGGAATAAATTGATAGAAAGATCCAAATGGAGTGAATCCTGTTGGTGGATTATATTTATTTCTTACGTCTTCTTGGCTATGCTTTTAGCTTATATTCAGTTCTTTTTGGTATAAGTTGCCCTTGACACACCTGTGTGTGATAAATCCTACTATGCAGAAACTGGCACTACTGGTATACAGACCAGAGGCTGAATGTGCACATGGCTCACACAGACACCATTTGTCCACGTGCATTTCTGTCCATGTGCATTCATCCATACATGGGCACTTTCAGCTGAACTCCGTCTTGATGTTTATGGGATGTGTTCATGGGATGTGCTGTCCTCTCCTCTCAGTTAGTATTTTCCTACCCCTCCCCTTGAGTTCTGGAAAACTGAAGTCCACTGTGGGCATGTCAATCATTTGTTCACCTGTGTGGGTGGCCAATATTTATTATTATTGAGATACAAGTTTTCCAATATACCACACTTGTGGGTTCACGCGCTCCCCCAAAGTGCGTCTCTGTCTCAGCCCCACTAAAAGCCCACCAAGGAAACCTCACCAGTGGAAGTAGGGGGTGCAGGAATAGGTGGCAGTTCACCCAGCAAAACGTTGTCACACACATAAAAAGAAGTGGCCCTCACAATGTGCTTCAGTGTGTCTGGGTAACATGTGAGTTTACATTGGATTTCCCTCCCCCCCTTATCACATGGATTGGGAAGTTCTGAATTAAATGGCGGAGGGAAGTGTGGACTTCTACTTAGATGAGGGCAATGTCGTGTGGACAAGGTGAAAAACAAGCACACATAAGATGCATAAAATCCACTTTAAACTACCATGTATACACATCCAGGTTGGTTTTTCCCCACGGTGCCATTGGGCTTGAGAGCTGAGCAACTCTTCAGATCCAGTGCAGAGACTACTCCATTTAATAACTTGTTTAAAAATGGGTGGTCAAGGCATCTATAGTATAAGCAGCTTACTTCAAGGTTTGCTTAAAAGTCCAGTGTCACATTCTTTGTACTGTTCTAGATAACTACCGTATTTACTCAAATCTAATGCTCACCTTTTTTGTTATGAAAATCAAGGTACGCATTAGATTCGATGGCACATTTACATTCGCCAGCAAATACTTTTTTTGGTTTCAAGGTTCTGAAAATTGAGGTGCGCATTAGATTTGATGGTATGTTAGTCTCAAGTAAATATGGTATGTTTTTGAAGGGAAGTTCCTTTTATTCATGTTTCCTATTCACTACTTTTTTAAAAAAATCAATGCAGGAAACAATTGCTACTACATCCATGAACAAATCTTGTACGGTTTATGTTCAGTCTCTTCCAGGCTGCCCAAAACACAGCTATTTCCTAGATAAAGGCATAGAAAAATCTGATACAGCTGGAGCAATGGTCAAGAAAATCCCTTTCACCCATCCCAAATGTGTGCCTGATATGATTGAAGTTCTCAGACGTCAAGCAGCATATAACACCCTCATTAGCAGCTGTGTGTCTGAGACAACTGAGTGTGAAGGTAAGATGTTCGCACATCTTTTGCTCACACCTCTTTCTGATTCTGCTGTGTTTCTACTAGTGAATTCTGGGAAGAGTTTATCTTCAGTATTTGCTGTGAAGCTCAAATATATCAATTGGGATTTGTATGTTGGATGCATGTAAAGTTAGGTCCACCTTGGATGGTGGTGACAAGATATTCAGGCATTGGAAATAAGGAGGTGTGATGGACAGCATACTGGTTCTGCTCCCCTCTCAGCATTTTTGTGACCCAATTCATTGAAAGTGGCTGGGGAAATTGTGAGCCCATCGTATCTGTGGAGGTTAAGTTGGGTACCAGACCCCTCTAATCGTTGGATCTAGCAAGTGTTAGAATTTAACCAAGGAATAGCCAGGCTAGCCGCCTCGTGAGGTGATAAACTTGAGCGATGAGCCATTAAGAGGCAAGATGGCAAATGGGTGGGGCCCCCCTCACAGATAAAGTCAGAGTTGAGAGAAGCAGTGAAATGACCAGGAAGAAAAGCAGCAAGCTGGAGACAGGGTCAAAGAGAAATATTTGATTTCTGTTTGAATCCAAGGCTGCTGCCGTGAGAGAAACTAATGTTGTAGGCTCAGTTTGTATATACGTGTAGATAAACCATACATCATAAAGACACCACAGTCTCCGCTGTGCCTCATTCCCAAAAGGAATCACAAACCCTGTGTAAGCACCTGGAATCCCTGAAACCTTGGAGATTGAGGGTGGGATGCAACAATATGAATAGCGTAGAACAGATCACACAAATCAAATGTGCATTGGCTTCAATGTTCTCCCCCTTCTTCTTTGTTTCATTTGCAACTCCCATCTTGAAACTATATAGTCTGTTTTCAGTCCCCCCCCCTTTTCTTACCTAGCTCAGTACTACACTACATCAGCTGGTATCAGTTCTCCAGGGTGTCAGGTGAGGTTCTCTCACAGTCAGATCTGGAGATGGCGGGGGTGGAACGTGGGACCTTCCTCATGCAAGGCGCTCATGTTCTGCCACTGAGCTACGGCCCTCCCTTCTCAGCAAAAGTTCCTGCAGGCAGAGATTTTAAAATGAGTGAAGTATTCATGGGGACTTGCTTTCAGGTGTGCTTGGAACTGTTTGGATTCCAACCAAACAATGTTGACACCTTATAACTTATTTCTTTTGGAGATAGTGAAACTGAAATGGACATTTTCAGCAACTGTACAGTCATACCTCGGGTTACAGATGCTTCAGGTTGCGTTTTTTCAGGTTATGGACTGCCAAAACATGGAAGTACTGGAACGGATTTCAGCAGTCGCGCATGCACAGAAGTGCTAAATTGCGCTTTGCACATGCACAGAAGCACTGAATCGCAACCCTCGTGTGCGCAGACGCGCTGCTGCAGGTTGTGAACATGCATCCCACACGGACCATGTTCACAACCCAAGAGTCCACTGTATTTCATTTGATGTTTGTACCATGAAACTTCATGAGCTTGTACAAAGCAGGACTCCTTGAGTCTAGCAAAAACCAACCCACTCCTACTTCGATGGTAATGTTTTAAGTTAAGGGATATAGAATACTTGGAATTCAATACAAATGTTTTCTGACTACACCCACTAATTTATATCTCTAATTCAAATTAAACGTTTAGCTCTATTGCTACTGGGTTAGCCCAGTCACTAAACAGTTATTTCCTTCCAGATTCATCAGACTTGCTTCATTTTGACGTCTTTCAGCAAAAAGCCACTAGCTTTTCAGTAACATTCCAGCATCCATTGGAGGAGAACCTAGCCTGTGGTATGTCTCCAAAGGAAAAGTGTATTGGGTGCACACAGACATACAAAAAAGTCAGCAGGGAACGTGGTGCAGAAATGCACTCACTGCATTTTGCACTACACATGTAGCCTCATTTGGCTCGGGCCGGGGTAGAACGTGTGAATGTGTATATGTGTGTTTCAGTGTTAAGAACAGACTGGATGTCCATACCACACACTGACACAATAACCAGTTCATTGCAAAGCTACCTCAGTTTTCCCAGAGCAGCACTGTGCAAAGCCCTAAATAGCTGGCCGTTGTGACTGCTTTCAGATGTTTATAGGAAAAGTGCTGGCCCGAGACACTTTGTGCCTCATGTGGAGCCCAAATAGTCCCCTGCTAGAACCAACACCCTAAATTTTGCTTCATCAATTCCTGCCTTCCTCTAACCTGCCCATCTCCCCATGCAGTCTGAACACATGGAGAGAAGGAACTAGAGAGGAGGAGCTGGATCACATCTGTGACCTATTGCGACGTATTCATAAATAATGTCTGAAAAGAGGTGGTAATAATAATAATAATAATAATAATAATAATAATAATAATTTTACTATTTTTTATACCACACCCATCTGGCTGGGTTTCCCCAGCCTCTCTGGGTGGCTTCCAACAACATATTAAAATACAGTAGGGCAGCCGGGCTGCCATTATTATTATTATTATTAGTCTTCTACACAAGTGTCTCATGGTGATGTACAATATGGTTATAGTTATACACAAAGGGGCTCTTACTTTAGCACACATTGAAGAAACTGGCAAACTCTTCTCATTTACTACTTGGCCATCTATATTAACTCTTTTCTACTATTGGACAATGTGTGTGTGTGTGTGTGTGTGTGTGTGTGTGTGTGTGTGTGTTTTTCTAGTGTTTGTGTTTTTCTCTGTTAAATTGGTTTGGGAGCTATTGGTACAAAAAGTAGCACATTATGTCATTTACAGTCCATCTTTCACCCTATGGTCCCAGGGTGGAAATACGTATTTTGCAACCTAGGTATAAATTGGATCTGATTCCCAGTTTTATACTATGGTTGGGAATATTAAAAAGTAAGCAGATGTTGCACTTTATCACATAATCTGTGGATTAAACGTTAACCACACTGGCTTTGAAGATGGCTTGGGATAAACTTGCAACAGGTGAACAGCCTGGTTACTGTTTTGTTAATCCTTCCAATGTGCACGTCTTTGGATTGGGCTGGTGATGGGATAACAGAAGCCAGTTCAAATGCCTGTTACTCATAGGTGGATGTGTGAATGGACTCCTTTTGAAATTATTGGTGACATATATTTTTTATCTTCTAGTGATTTGTAATTGCTCATTTTTACAGTCAGCATGGAATGAGCATGAATGTGACCTCTTCCCACGAAGCATGCATGCTTTCAGAAAATAAATAAAACCAATGCAGTGACCAGAAAGAATTCCTGTTTAAGGATTGAATAGATTTGGTGGTTGTTGATAATTCTTACTGTTGTCTCTACTATAATGTCACACTTGTTTTTAGAGCATTTTTTCCCTATTCTGTTTAGTGATGGTCGATGTTCTGAGTTCAAGGGACGTTATATGCACTCTTCATACACATTCTGAAGATGGAGCATTAATCTGCAGCAATGATTATCTCACAAGAGTCCTGAAGCGGTAGGTAACACTTCTATAATATATAGGGGCCAAGTTTTCTTGTCCCTCCAATCCCTTTTCCTTTTGTGTCATGTATAATGGAATGGTTTGTAAACCGATGGGTGGCTATCTATAAATTTAGTAACTTTGTACAGCAGCTAGAAACTTTTAAGTGATTTAAAGGATTAAAAAATTATTTCATGTAACGGGAAATTTTTCTCAGTATTTGAATAAACATTGGGGCAGGAGAAACAATACCATATAAACATTGTAATGAAGAATTTATTAAAAATGGTGGGTTTCACAGGCCAATTCAGCTTTCTTAAAAAGGATATTCTCAAATGATGCATGCATTTAGACAGTTTGCTGGAGGAACTGGACCTTAATAATACTGAGTAAGCTTTCTGAGTAAGCTTTCATAGGAAAGCACAACACAGTGGAATAGCTCCATCAGGCTTAAGACGTGAGAAACAGGCAACCAAAATAACCTACCTAAAAGCTCCATAAATGTCTAGCTCCAGATGGTCAGAAGAGTTAGTTGAGCCCTGTATGTCAGTGTGATATTCTCTGGAACTCATGGCAACTAAAAATCTCCTCCATCTTTTAATAGTTAGCACAACTAGAGGCTCCTTTGCTTCTGTAATGGGCAACTTAGACCACTGTCTAAGCATCAGTGGGCTGAGTCTCAGCAGTGGTCTTTGGACCACTTTCAGGTAGGCCTCAGCATCACTGCCTGCCATAGCCTTTTGGCTGGAGCAACAGCAACACTAGCAACTCTGCATGCTGAGTAAAGATGGCCAGAAGACAGAGAGGTTCAGGAGTGGGCAAGGTCTCCCTTGCTCTGATGGGAAAGAGCTTGAAGTGTTGAAGGAAATTAAAAGGCTGATAGTTGTTGTTGTTGTTGACAACAACAATGGTAGTAAAACAATGTTGTTATAGGAGGAAGCTGCCCAGAGTGGCTGTGGCAACCCTGTCAGATGGGCAGGGTACAACTAATAAAATGATTATTATTAGTTAGAAGGATCAGGAAAGATTGATGAAAGAAATGAGTGGTGGAGGGATAGGAAATACTTGTGAAACATCAAGCATGAGGAGGATTTTCAGCAGTGTGGTGGGATGCAACTTTAAAGATTCAAACTGCTCCTGTTGAGTGAGCAATGCAAAATAAGATTGGAACATCGGTGCTTTGAGGCCCCACAACAGGGTGAGCTCCCGTTGTTCAGTCTCAGCTCCTGCCAACCTAACAGTTCGAAAGCACATCAAAGTGCAAGTAGATAAATAGGTACCACTCTGGCAGGAAGGTAAACAGCGTTTCTGTGCGCTGCTCTGGTTTCGCCAGAAGCGGCTTAGTCATAATTTCCACATGACCCGGAAAAACTGTCTGCAGACAGACGTCGGCTCCCTCGGCCAGTAAAGCGAGATGAGCGCTGCAACCCCAGAGACGTTCGCAACTGGACTTAACTGTCAGGGGTGCCTTTACCTTTATGTCACCTTACAGAAGAACTGGCATGGAACTTTAGAAATTTATTTTATGTAATCTATAAAGCTTTCTGCACTGCACTGACTTGTTTGGAAACAGTGGCAAATGCAGCTTGCTCTATACACCAGTCAGTTAGTTCTGCATATGAAGCAGCCAGATTATATTTAGTGAATTAGCAATTCCTTAAATATTGGATGACTTTGCCCTTCTCTTAGGTGTATGTCAATTCCAGTTCTCATGAGAGCAATTTTCAAGAAAGCCACCCAACAAAAAGCTGAGGAAACTTCTCTGAGCAAAGACGGAGTCTGTGAGGAAAACTGCAAAGACCAACAAGTTGAACATAACCAGCAGTAGTGTGGCTACTTGTGAAACTGAGCAACAGCATTCTTATTTTTGGTGTAATTCTTGGTTTATTTCTCTCACAAGTTACAACTGGGCAAAACTAATTCTGCTTAGTGAAAAACATTGGAAAAAGTTACGTTTTAAGTCACAAAAACAATTTGAATGCAGAGATTACCAGCTTATTAAACATTAAGTTTCAACTTTGTAAGGGTTATTTTATAGTGAGTGTTTAGAAAAAGTAGGTTTTCTGAAGTAGTATGTTAAACAAAGCTTTAGGAACTTTTTTTTAGTAGGATAAACATTTTTTGGCAGGGGTGGGTGGGTTATTTTAATTCAACTTTTATCTTTATACTGGTCACACCCTGTGGCAGAACTCTAGTCCACCTGAACGTTTGTCTAAATTGGGTTTTTTTCTTAACACTAAAGCTTCATTTTTTTCAAAGTCAGACACGATCTTTTAAAAATAGGGTCTTGATTCCATCAAATGTTAGTCACATAGGGACATTTTCTCAGATAGCATTGATTTGATTACTTGGGGACATAGTTAAAATTAAGAGATAAATGAACCATCTTTACACTACAATGAAACTTTTGTACCCCAGCCCTTTCCCATAATGATACTCTTTTGTGTGCAATCTCTACTGGATAGAGGTATGAAGCTCTCTCCTGAAATCTGCCCTTGCACAGACATTATGTTCACCTTGCTCTACATGTAAGATGAAGTATTTTTACATGATTCCCTCTCTCTCGTGTGTGTGTGTGTGTGTGTGTGTGTGTGTGTGTCACACATGACTTCTCTTGGTCTGAACCAGGTAGAGTTTAAGTAGTGGTAGCTATAGTACAGCAAAGTAAGGGCAGCAAAAGACCCATAGAACTCACATTATTTGGGAGAGAGGAGGCTAATCTTTTGGGGGGCCATATTGACCCATAGTCAACCTTCCAGTGAGTAGCAAGAACTGCACTTCTCGAGGCTGCTTTCCAATAAATTATTTTACACTATCAGTTGTTTTTATTATTAAATTTAGTGATGTCAAATTTTGTGAGGGTATTGGAGGTCACAGAAGTGGGACACAAGTTTGTCACCCCTGTTCGAAAGAAACGTTAATTCCTTTTGAAGAGGAATTTCTATTTCTTTGTTCTCTTGAATAGGTCTGCCTCTTCTCACGTTGTCCACCTGCCCCTGATTAGTGCAGCACTGACTTCTGGGCAAGAAGGTTTTTCCCAGAAAGCTTATGAAGAGAGAACTGTACTATGTACAGACTAGTTTACCAGCTAAGAAATGCTTCAGTAAATATCTGAAGGCCAAACTCAAGGTGACATTAAATGCACCTTTATATTTCAGATATTAAAAAATGCAAATAGCATCAGCCAGCACCAACGAAGAATTTCTTCCTCAAAGCAAATCCTAGCTTCAGAAAAATTCCTGAAACAAAGCAGGGGAGTAATGAGTTAATTTCCCAGCTTTATGCCTGTTCATCTCAATAACTGGGATCCTTCCACCATACATATTTTAAAAATGCAAATAAAATGTTAAAGATATCTTTACAAATTGCATTTAACACCCATTCTTCCTATGTATCAGAGAAGGGGGGAGAGAATAATCCCCTCTTGCAAGGCTGTATTTCACATCTCTGGAACAGCGATGTAACATAGATTATACTGCCTGGAATGATTTACTAACATAAGATGTGTTTGCAAAGTTTGTTAAAGGAGATTAGACAGTGTACAAATTAATCATAAGCCATATCCATGTAATACGACAGGATTTTATCTACTATATAAAGGGCACATTAAGCAATATTTGAAAGCAAAATCTCTGCATTTCAGCTGTTTTGAGGTAGTTGCATATCTGGGGGGAAACGATACTTTTAAAAAAAAACTTTTAAAAATTCCACACAATGAATTAACTTTGCAATAGTCGAATGTGTTCAAATGTGTCTGGTGGCAAACCTAGCTGATCTACTAAATTCATAGTTTTTTCTTTTAGCCAACTAAACACTGGCTTTTTTGAATCAGTGCCACCTTTTCTCCTTCTGCAACATTCTTCTTGGGAGGATCCAGTCCTGCTATCATTTCTGCAACACTGTCCACTAAACTCAATGCCGTTTTCAGAGATTCTTCCACCTGTAGTTCCATCATGCTGTTTCTCAGGTAAGAGGGCACGACCAAGGTCCATGTCCTCAATAGTATCCAGCAAGTCTTCAACATGGGGCTGCAGGTGGGTAGAGTTAAGACTTCTAAACACAGATTCTTCGTATTTTCCCAGTTCGTTCAGCAGGTCAGTTACCTCGCTCAGCACTCCAGAACTGCATCCATTGTGCTGACACCAGAACGAAAGAGCACTATAAAAACAATGAAAGTTAAAAATGGATCTGAGACCAAATGTAAATAAGAAGACAGCTTTTTAAAAAAACATTTTTTCCCTCCCATATTTATTCTCATTCACAAAGGGCAACTGAGCAGAACATTAACCTAGAATAGTTTTGTATTCCAATTTGGAGCGCCATATAAGAAATCTAGAAATCGCCATGGCACCAATCAAATAACCTTTTTCTAGTACGATGTATCATTTCCTGCTTTCTATCTAGCAAATGCCTGAGATACTCTTTATAATGGAATCAAGTTCCTACAGCCCATGGTGGTTGAAGGGGGAAATCAAGAGACAGGAGACAGTCTTTGCTCAGAAATGGCAGGCATGGAGTACAGTGGTACCTCTAGTTCGTTCCAGAGGTCTGTTCTTAACCTGAAACTGTTTTTAACTAGAGGCGCACTTTCGCTAATGGGGCCTCTTGCTGCCAGTGCGCCATTGGCACACGATTTCCGTTCTCATCCTGGGGCAGAGTTCTCAACTCGAGGTCACTCTTCCAGGTTAGAAGAGTTTGTAACCTGAGGCATTTGTAACTTGAGGTACCATTGTAGTCTGAAAATTTCCTCCTTTCACAGTACATCCTATACGGCACCTTCAATGGAGGTCTACATGGAAGAGGCTGCCTCCAGGTTTCGTAGCAGCACGGAGGGAGAAGTTGGCTGTAGCTTTCAAATGCTACAAACCAATTGGACTACTGTTGCCATCTTTTTCTGTTCTCCAGTAGCTCAAGTTCAACAGAGTGTGAAATTGTATCAGGACGAGTGGCTATATTAAGGGGTGGGGAGCCTTTTTGGCTTCACAGGAGAGAATCCTTATTTGTCCTCCCATCAATCACCAAACATCACAACGGCATCAGGTGATCTGGTGACAAGTCTCATTGTCAGAACTTCAAAGTAACCTGCAGGCAGCAAGGTGCTGGAAGATGGAAGGGGATTCTGTTAGCATGAATTTCAATGCAAAACCCTTCTTAATCGTGAAGAGGTTTACATTAAATCCTACCGAACTGAGTAGGATTTAACACCCCCCCCCATCAGCTGATGAGCAAGGTGTTAAATCTTGCTGTGTTGGCTGCGCACCCCAGTTCCCTGCAGGATGTGACAATAAAGAATGAATAAAAAGTTAAGTGTTCATAATTTAAATGGGCACTATATTAGCAGAGGATATTAATAGATATATTTCTCTGGTGGAGGTCTGCTATCAATTTAACAACTTGTAAAATTAATTTCCATTCCTTTTTTTAAAATGCTGCTTTACTACATACCTTATGGTTCCTTTGAGTTGGCCACATGAGATCATCTTCCTTGCTGCTTCTTTATACCCCTGATTAAAACCCTGTTGAACTGTCAGCAGTTTTCCAGCTTCTGCTCCCTCCCTATAACCTTCCTTTGAGCAAAGAGATCAAAATCACATTAACAACTAGAACGTAAAAAGAAACAGTACAGTACTCATCGGTATCTGCCGGCTTATTCAAATAAGCCATCATGAAATGAGGTCCATCTGCAATTATAAAAATGTTTGCTCTAGAGGTGTGGCTTACACATAATAGGTGTGCCAATCATGTAGCTTTAAAAAGTCAACCTCATAATGAAAAAAGTGCTTCTGGAGTAGACAGAGGATATTCGGCACAATAACAAAAGTGTGAGATCTTTTTCAGCCCTTCCAGTTGCATGGACTGAACAAATAAAAAAAGAAAGAGGAAAATTGAATCTTTGATTATATAGCATGACGCAAGACAGTGCATTATTAACAGTTAAGCTATCCTTGTGAATTGCCGTTAGTTTCATCTGAAAATGACTTTCTCTGCTTAATTCCAGAACTATGTTTCTCCCAAACAGAACACTACAGCTGACCCTTAATCCTTTGATCAGCAACTCTGCAGTGAAGGCCAGTGAGCCAAGGCTCTCCCTTTCCCCCAACATGGATTATCTTCTCCCTACAACCAACACATCCTCCCTACACCTTATTTGCCTCTGAGCTGACTGAGGTGTGTCTGGGGTGGGGTGGGGGTGGACCTGCTAGTGCTATTCTGAAGGCTAATCCATCTTGGGAGCGCAATAGCTAATTTTTATGTCACTGATGTGGTCAATCCCCAACCCAAACCATATAATTACTTTGACTCGTTTCTCCATGGTGCTCTTCCATTCTTTCTGAGCTATGTCCATTTCATTTGCATCTTCATCAAACACATCTTCGCTGTGCTGGCTGACTGCAGCTTGCACCCAGGACATCTTGTCTGTGCTAATAACCGTGAGGAGGGCTATGGGCAGAAGCAGCTGAAGTCTAGCAGGGTGGTAAGCTTGAGCAATCAGACTGAAACCTGCAGGGAAATGACACCTATTGAAACAAATGTTTGCATATAAAATACATCTGATAATGTGTGTATGTTGAGAATCCCCACACCCAGCTTTTGCCGGTGAATAGGGTCCATGATCAGGAACTTCCTGCAGCCAACCAGAAGCCACACTTTGGAAGTCAAACGATTCAGAAGTCGAACAGACTTCTGGAACGGATTCTGTTCGACTTCCGAGGTACGAATGTATACTTTTATTAACTCCTCTCTTCAAGGAGCAGAGAAAAAGGTAATGGAACTTAAAACCTTCACACTCCTTGCAGGGTCACAACAGACTTTGTGTTGATCAAAACCATGACTTACGAGGCAGCTTGTTTGTGAGCTGCACTATTGGCATGATGAGGGAGGGGAGAAGAAAGTGTTTTCTCAAAAAATGGCCACCAGCAGCCCAACTTTGTCACTTTTGAGGTAGCAGATACTTCCAACTGCTGTGTCTTCATACCCCAAGAGAAGCTTTGTAATACATTAAAGACTAACAGA